TCGGACCAATAGGCCAGTTGGTCCAACCGGTCCATCGGACCAACAGGCCAGTTGGTCCAACCGGTCCATCGGACCAACAGGCCAGATGGTCCAACCGGTCCATCGGACCAACAGGCCAGATGGTCCAACCGGTCCATCGGACCAACAGGCTAGTTGGACCAACCGGTCCATCGGACCAACAGGCCAGTTGGTCCAACCGGTCCATCGGACCAACAGGCCAGTTGGTCCAACCGGTCCACCGGACCAACAGGCAAGATGGTCCAAACGGTCCATTGGACCAACAGGCCAGTTGGTCCAAACGGTCCATCGGACCAACAGGCCAGATGGTCCAACCGGTCCATCGGACCAACAGGCCAGTTGGTCCAACCGGTCCATCGCACCAACAGGCCAGATGGTCCAACCGGTCCATCGGACCAACAGGCCAGATGGTCCAACCGGTCCATCGGACAAACAGGCCAGTGGTCCAACCGGTCCATCGGACCAACAGGCCAGATGGTCCACCCGGTCCATCGACCAACAGGCCAGATTGTTCCAACCGGTCCATCCCAGCCCAACAGGCCGAGTTGGTCCAACCGGTCCCATCGGACCAACAGGCCAAGTTGGTCCAGAACCGGTCCATCGGACCAACAGGCCAGTTGGTCCAACCGGTCCATCGGACCAACAGGCCAGGATGGCCCAAACCGGTCCATCGGACCAACCGGCCATGATTGGTCCAACCGGTCCATCGGACAACAGGACCCTAGATGGTAAACCGGTCCATCGGACCAACAGGCAAGATTGGTCAACCGGTCCATTCGGACCAACAGGCAGATTGGTCACAACCGGTCCATTCGGACCAAACAGGCCCAGATTGGTCCAAACCGGTCCCCCATCGGCCACAACAAGGCCACTGGTCCACCGTCCATCGTACCCCACCGGCCAGTTGGTCCAAACCGTCCGATCGGGACCAACAAGGCCAGATGGTCCAACCGGTCCATCGGACCAACAGGCCAGTTGGTCCAACCGGTCCATCGGACCAACAGGCCAGATTGTCCAACCGGTCCATCGGACCAACAGGCCAGTTGGTCCAACCGGTCCATCGGACCAACAGGCCAGATGGTCCAACCGGTCCATCGGACCAACAGGCCAGATGGTCCAACCGGTCCATCGGACCAACATGCTAGTTGGACCAACCGGTCCATCGGACCAACAGGCCAGATGGTCCAACCGGTCCATCGGACCAACAGGCCAGATGGTCCAACCGGTCCATCGGACCAACAGGCTAGTTGGACCAACCGGTCCATCGGACCAACAGGCCAGATGGTCCAACCGGTCCATCGGACCAACAGGCTAGTTGGACCAACCGGTCCATCGGACCAACAGGCCAGATGGTCCAACTGGTCCATCGGACCAACAGGCCAGTTGGTCCAACCGATCCATCGGACCAACAGGCTAGTTGGTCCAACCGGTCCATCGGACCAACAGGCCAGTTGGTCCAACCGGTCCATCGGACCAACAAGCCAGATGGTCCAACCGGTCCATCGGACCAACAGGCCAGATGGTCCAACCGGTCCATCGGACCAACAGGCTTGTTGGACCAACCGGTCCATCGGACCAACAGGCCAGTTGGTCCAACCGGTCCATCGGACCAACAGGCCAGTTGGTCCAACCGGTCCATCGGACCAACAGGCCAGATGGTCCAACCGGTCCATCGGACCAGCAGGCCAGTTGGTCCCAACCGGTCCATCGGACCAACAGGCCAGATGGTCCAACCGGTCCATCGGACCAACAGGCCAGTTGGTCCAACCGGTCCATCGGACCAACAGGCCAGATGGTCCAACCGGTCCATCGGACCAACAGGCCAGTTGGTCCAACCGGTCCATCGGACCAACAGGCCAGATGGTCCAACCGGTCCATCGGACCAACAGGCCAGTTGGTCCAACCGGTCCATCGGACCAACAGGCTAGTTGGACCAACCGGTCCATCGGACCAACAGGCCAGTTGGTCCAACCGGTCCATCGGACCAACAGGCCAGTTGGTCCAACCGGTCCATCGGACCAACAGGCCAGATGGTCCAACCGGTCCATCGGACCAACAGGCCAGTTGGTCCAACCGGTCCATCGGACCAACAGGCCAGATGGTCCAACCGGTCCATCGGACCAACAGGCCAGATGGTCCAACCGGTCCATCGGACCAACAGGCCAGTTGTCCATCGGACCAACAGGCTAGATGGTCCAACCGGTCCATCGGACCAACAGGCCAGATGGTCCAACCGGTCCATCGGACCAACAGGCTAGTTGGACCAACCGGTCCATCGGACCAACAGGCCAGTTGGTCCAACCGGTCCATCGGACCAACAGACCAGTTGGTCCAACCGGTCCATCGGACCAACAGGCCAGATGGTCCAACCGGTTCCATCGGACCAACAGGCCAGTTAGTCCAACCGGTCCATCGGACCAACAGGCCAGATGGTCCAACCGGTCCATCGGGACCAACAGGCCAGATGGTCCAACGGGTCCATCGGACCAACAGGCTAGTTGGACCAACCGGGTCCATCGGACCAACAGGCCAGTTGGTCCAACCGGTCCATCGGACCAACAGGCCAGTTGGTCCATCGGACCAACAGGCCAGTTGGTCCAACCGGTCCATCGGACCAACAGGCCAGTTGGTCCAAAACCGGTCCATCGGACCAACAGGTCCAGATTGGTCCAACCGGATCCCATCGGACCAACAGGCCAGATTGGTCCAACGATCCATCGGACCAACAGGCCAGTTGGTCCAACCGGTCCATCGGACCAACAGGCCAGTTGGTCCAACCGGTCCATCGGACCAACAGGCCAGTTGGTCAACGGGTCCATCGGACCAACAGGCCAGTTGGTCCAAACCGGTCCATCGGACCAACAGGCCAGATGGTCCAACGGGTCCATCGGACCAACCGGCCAGATTGGTCCAACCGGTCCATCGGACCAACAGGCCAGTTGGACCCAAACCGGTCCATCGGACCAAACAGGCCAGTTTGGGTCCAACCGTTCCATCGGACCAACAGGCCAGTTGGTCCAACCGGTTCCATCGGACCAACAGGCCAGTTGGTCCAACCGGTCCATCGGACCAACAGGCCAGTTGGTCCAACCGGTCCATCGGACCAACAGGCCAGATGGTCCAACCGGTCCATCGGACCAACAGGCCAGTTTGGTCCAACCGGTCCATCGGACCAACAGGCCAGATGGTCCAACCGGTCCATCGGACAAACAGGCCAGTTGGTCCAACCGGTCCATCGGACCAACAGGCCAGATGGTCCAACCGGTCCATCGGACCAACAGGCCAGTTGGTCCAACCGGTCCATCGGACCAACAGGCCAGTTGGTCCAACCGGTCCATCGGACCAACAGGCCAGATGGTCCAACCGGTCCATCGGACAACAGGCCAGTTGGTTCCAACCGGTCCATCGGACCAACAGGCCAGATGGTCCAACCGGTCCATCGGACCAACAGGCCAGATGGTCCAACCGGTCCATCGGACCAACAGGCCAGTTGTCCATCGGACCAACAGGCCAGATGGTCCAACCGGTCCATCGGACCAACAGGCCAGATGGTCCAACCGGGTCCATCGGACCAACAGGCTAGTTGGACCAACCGGTCCATCGGACCAACAGGCCAGTTGGTCCAAACCGGTCCATCGGACCAACAGACCAGTTGGTCCAACCGGTCCATCGGACCAACAGGCCAGATGGTCCAACCGGTCCATCGGACCAACAGGCCAGTTAGTCCAACCGGTCCATCGGACCAACAGGCCAGATGGTCCAACCGGTCCATCGGACCAACAGGCCAGATGGTCCAACGGGTCCATCGGACCAACAGGCTAGTTGGACCAACCGGTCCATCGGACCAACAGGCCAGTTGGTCCAACCGGTCCATCGGGACCAACAGGCCAGTTGGTCCAACCGGGTCCATCGGACCAACAGGCCAGTTGGTCCAACCGGTCCATCGGACCAACAGGCCAGTTGGTCCAAACCGGTCCATCGGACCAACAGGCCAGATGGTCCAACCGATCCATCGGACCAACAGGCCAGTTGGTCCAACCGGTCCATCGGACCAACAGGCCAGTTGGTCCAACCGGTCCATCGGACCAACAGGCCAGTTGGTCCAACCGGTCCATCGGACCAACAGGCCAGTTGGTCCAACCGGTCCATCGGACCAACAGGCCAGATGGTCAAACCGGTCCATCGGACCAACCGGCCAGATGGTCCAACCGGTCCATCGGACCAACAGGCTAGTTGGACCAACCGGTCCATCGGACCAACAGGCCAGTTGGTCCAACCGGTCCATCGGACCAACAGGCCGGATGGTCCAACCGGTCCATCGGACCAACAGGCCAGATGGTCCAACCGGTCCATCGGACCAAAAGGCTAGTTGGACCAACCGGTCCATCGGACCAACAGGCCAGTTGGTCCAACCGGTCCATCGGACCAACAGGCCAGTTGGTCCAACCGGTCCATCGGACCAACAGGCCAGATGGTCCAACCGGTCCATCGGACCAACAGGCCAGTTGGTCCAACCGGTCCATCGGACCAACAGGCCAGTTGGTCCAACCGGTCCATCGGACCAACAGGCCAGTTGGTCCAACCGGTCCATCGGACCAACAGACCAGTTGGTCCAAACCGGTCCATCGGACCAACAGGCCTGTTGGTCCAACCGGTCCATCGGACCAACAGGCCAGTTGGTCCAACCGGTCCATCGGACCAACAGGCCAGTTGGTCCAACCGGTCCATCGGACCAACAGGCCAGTTGGTCCAACCGGTCCATCGGACCATCAGGCCAGATGGTCCAACCGGTCCATCGGACCAACAGGCCAGATGGTCCAACCGGTCCATCGGACCAACAGGCTAGTTGGACCAACCGGTCCATCGGACCAACAGGCCAGTTGGTCCAACCGGTCCATCGGACCAACAGGCCAGTTGGTCCAACCGGTCCATCGGACCAACAGGCCAGTTGGTCCAACCGGTCCATCGGACCAACAGGCCAGTTGGTCCAACCGGTCCATCGGACCAACTGGCCAGTTGGTCCAACAGGTCCATCGGACCAACAGGCCAGTTGGTCCAACCGGTCCATCGGACCAACAGGCCAGTTGGTCCAACCGGTCCATCGGACCAACAGGCCAGTTGGTCCAACCGGTCCATCGGACCAACAGGCCAGTTGGTCCAACCGGTCCATCGGACCAACAGGCCAGTTGGTCCAACCGGTCCATCGGACCAACAGGCCAGTTGGTCCAACCGGTCCATCGGACCAACAGGCCAGTTGGTCCAACCGGTCCATCGGACCAACAGGTCTACATCCCCCCCTCCAGCAGTTGGTCCAACTGGTCCATCGAACCAACAGGCCAATTGATCCAACCGGTCCATCGGACCAACAGGCTAGTTGATCCAAACCAATCCATTGGACCAGTTGGTCCAACTGGTCCATTGGACCAACAGGACAGTTGATCCAACCAATGAATTTGACCAGTTGGTCCAACCGGTCCATTGGACCAACAGGACAATTGGTCCAACTGGTCCACCGGACCAACAGGCCAGTTAGTCCAACCGGTCCATCGGACCAATAGGCCAGTTGTTACAATCGGTCCATTGGAACACCAGGCCAGTTGGTCCTTCATAGGACCAATAGTGCACTTGGTCCAACCGGTCCATAGGACCAACAGGCCCGTTGGTCCAACCGGTCCATCGGACCAACAGACCAGTTGGTCCAACCGGTCCATTGGACCAACAGGCCAATTGATCCAACCGGTCCATTGGACCAACAGGCCAGTTAGTCCAACCGGTCCATTTGACCAGCATGCTAGTTGGTCCAACCGGTCCATTGGACCAACAGGCCCGTTGGTCCAACCGATCCATCGGACCAACAGAATAGTTGTTGGTCCAACCTGTCCATTAGACCAACAGGCCAGTTGGTCCAACCGGTCCATTGAACCAAGAGGCCAGTTGATCCAACCCATCCATTGGACCAACAGGCCAGTTGGTCCAACCGCTCCATTGGACCAACAGGCCAGTTGGTCCAACCGGTCCATTGGACCAACAGGCCAGTTAGTCCAACAGGTCCATTGGACACAACAGGCCAGTTGATCCAACCAATCCATTGGACCAGTTGGTCCAACCGGTCCATTGGACCAACAGGACAGTTGGTCCAA